GAGAAAATATTAACTTCAAATCTGTGTCTAAGCACCATTAAAGACCCAATTACGCGTTTTGTGCATAATTTTGAGTGAAATTAATTAAAATAAATGATGTACTGAAATATAATATTTGTAGACTTAGCGTTTTCGTCGATATCTTTTGAAAAAAAATTAAAAAAGACATATCGTAAAAGTAAAAAAAAAAAAAATTAAAAAAAAAAAAACAACAAACAAAAAAAAACAAAAAAAAAAAAAAAAAACGGGTGAAAACTACAAAGCAATCATATCAATATTTTAATCACCAATAAAAGAAATTATTATAAAATATTAAGTGTGAATATTGAAATAAAAAGATTCCACTTATTGTGCGGACATTTACCACGATCGGAATATTATTTACTTTTCTGGCGAACAATGGTGTCCAAATATTCGTCATTTCAGAGGGTCCGTGTTCTTATGCCCTGTTTACAGATTTGGATATAAAAAGAATCTTTCGTACATAATTCATGGCGTGAGATACAAGATACTTTATCTATATTAGTATAAATATCTTTTCTTATTTAATCCATCGCATTTTGTTGTTATAATTTTCTAATAGTGGGGGAGGTGTCGATTGTTTCCAATTACGGCGAATTAATTGAGTTTCTGTGTACCCAAGTGCAAGGTCGACAAGGGCATTACGTACATGTACATTCTTAAAATCAAGGCACAAGTTGAATAAGGGACTCGGAAGAATTATCGGTCTGTGCTGCTACAGAAACTTCTCTCTCCGGATCTCATTTATTGAAGGAAGAAAGGGCTTGAATATCCCTAATTTTTCTTCGAAAGTACAGTTATCTTGGACGTCATATCGCTAACAAGTACAGAACAGCAGTGGAGATTGAATAAAAAAAAATCACCAAGTCATCATTTAATTATCTACTCTCAATTTTTTTTTTTTAAATAAAATTATCAACCAAGATATATGGGACAGCGACATGATTTTTTTTTTAACCCAGAGTTTATACAAAGCGACCTTTCACGCGGTACATGAAAGCGTTTGACGCGTGACCAGGAAATTGTTTTCAAACATGCAAACTCAGATTATCAGGTAGCCCTCGTAGCTGGCCCGTCAATCAAATCAGAAGCTATTGTTTTTTTAATGATTGACAGGCGGTATACTATTGATCTTGAATTAGGTAGATTTTGGGGGCGTTAGCATAAAATTGGGTGTTTAAATGCAGCAGTTAAAACTTTACCGATTTTATAAAAATTAATAATCGGGACATTTTCTTTTCAGATAGTATTGTTACTTTGAGAAGAGGGGGGGGGGGGTGTCTTGGAAATCAGGAAGCATCGGAGAGTCGCAAAATTAAAAATAAAATAAAATGAATTTGGGGACGTTTTAAGTTTTTCTACCAACATCTAGTGGATGTAAGAATATTATTAACTCGTAGATATCTGTAAATAGATATTTGGTTCCTTTATACATTTGCAGTTACGACAAGTAATTAAGAAATTTTCTCTCTAGCTCAAATTAATCAGTCCAAAAAAAAGAAAAAAAATCATCGATGTAGGTCAAGGATATGTTGAAATTGCAACAAGCCTAGCTGAATGTCATAACGACCATAGATTATGCTTAACTTAAATTAATGTCCAATTAATGACGACTGCATATCAAGTCACAAATGAATGTCAAATTTTGATGACATTTTTATCTGAATACAATTAAGTAGCGAGAAATATCTTTTAAATCGGATAAGGCATGAGGTTGACTTGAATTAATTCATTTAAAATATTAAAATACATATCTGAGTAAGTCTACATTTGTACAAAATCAAATGACCTAAAGACAAAATTGCAGTAACGAAAACAAGATTTGAAATCAGTCTTAACAATTGATTTAGCTGTTTAGTTGATACACTCTAGGTCTGAGACCTTAGGAGGCATCAACTGACATGGCTTGATGACCCTTGGCTTCACAGTGTCCAAAAGGTGCATTCTAAAACAATATGAAAACTAGAAAAATTGTCCATAGGATATGAATGCCCCGCCCTGGATTCATTATATAGCAATGCAACATGAAAATCTGTTTAAGTGTATGAAGTTTGATTTAAAATATCTTGAATAGTTTTTTTTAAACAGAGTCTTATAGACAATAAATAATAAAGTCAAAGGTCATGGAAAGATCAAGGGAAAATATTGGATATAGTTGATAAATTCTCACCAAATTATATACGTATCAGTGCATACGCTTACATAAGAACATCAAGGTCAAGGTAAAATAAAATGTTGATAGCTTACATCAGTATTATCAGCATATGAAGTTTGATAACAATACCTTGAATGGTTTCTTTAAAACTAAGCTAAACACTGATTTAAGGAAAGTTAGGTCAAGATCAAAGGAAAGGTCAAGGCAAAAAAAAAAAAATGATGCAGTTGAATAGCTCTCATCGTTATGTATCACAATATGAAATTTGATAGTAATATCATGAATAGTTTTAAAAAGAAGTGAGCTAAACTCAAAGCGAGACGGATGGACAGAAGGATGGGAGACGTACATGAAAAACACTATATGCCCCGGCCATATTCTTGGCGGGGCATAATGAATACTTAAAAAATTCAAATACTAGGTCACTTTGACCTACCTTTTATTAATAATTCCAAGGCCCCCAAATGCCTTGACAAAGTTGTAGGATTCTAAATCTCTCAGTATCCAAAATAATGAACTAAAATTTTTGAAAATGATAAGCCATAAAATCCAGAAAGTAGGTCATAGTGACCTACTTTTTGATTGACATACATGTACTTTACAGCCCCTTGATGCATCAACCGACAAGTTTTGATAATCCTAGGCTTCAATTTGTTCAAGATATTCATCAAAATCAATTTGAAAATATTCAAAACGTAGGTCACCGTAACCTTCTTTTGAGTCAACATGATATGAGGTCCTAAGCTGCGTCAACTGACAAGATATGATAATCCTAGTCCTGGGCAAAATATCAAATTTTTAAGAAAATATCATTTGAGATTGAATGACCTTGATATCATGTCCTTTGTTCCCGGATGATGCCTTGAACATTTTTTAATCTACAACATATCCTCATCCTTATGTATGTTTGGCGATAATCTGCCCAGTTGTTCTTGAGATTTTTCAGCAACCACTATTTTTGTGTTTATTTCCCTAATTATCTCCCCTTGTTTAAGGGTCACATCCCTATTTTAGTACCATATTGAAAGCCCTTTGGCCAAGGATATTCTGTGATATATTTGACAAGAATTGGCGAAAGGATTTCTGAGATATGGCCCACATCCCAACAAAAGGTGCATATGGACATTGCCTGTATTATGTAATATGAATCACTATGGCCCTTCTTTCCTTCATTAACAGATGGATTATATCACACAACTTAGATCGCATACTGTGCCTTCACCCTTCCAGAAGGGGTCATAATTTTAATAAAATTGAATCTGCACTGAGGATGCTTTTATATAAATATGACTTATTATAACTGTGCTACTCTTGACAAAAAGATTTTTCCTATATATTCTTATGAAAAACTTTGATCTCCAGTTGGGGTCAACCCTACCCCCAGGGGTCATGATTTGAACAAACATAAATCTACACTACCTGAGAATACTTCCATATAAATATGACTTATCAGGGGTTCGCCATGCTTGACAAGATTTTTATGCCCCCGCTATAAAATGGCCGGGGGCATATATATAGTGTTACCCTGTTTCATCATTCTGTCATCATTGACTTTCCGTTCATTATCTCGGCAACAGTTGCACATATTCCTCAACTCAAATTTGACATATGGATACGTCATATGAATATACGCAGGTCAAGTTCGAATTTGGTCATGGTCCGATGATTTTTGACAGAGTTATCCCTCTTGAACTTAAAAAAAGAAGACATTTTCAGTTTCCCATCCTCACAATGTCAAGGTTTTGTGATTTCGGAAATCCACATGTGTGGAGTTCCGAAATCACAAAACTTTGACATTGATAGGATGTCAGTTTCCGTTCTCTAACTTTTGTAGGGATGTATGTATATTAGAAAAATACAGGTCAAATTTGAATATGGTCGTGGTCCGATGATTTTTGAGATTTATCCCTCTTGAACTTAGAAAAAATAAGAATTTTTCAGTCTTCGCTCTCTAACTTTTGTAGGGATGTATGTATAAGGTTGGAATTGCATATGCAGGCATTTTAATAGAAAATACAGATCAAGTTTGAATTTAGTCATGGTCCGACGATTTTTGACAGTTATCCCCCTTGAATTTGGAAAAGATAAAAAAATTCACGATTACTAATCACTATCTCGGCTACAAATGTGCAATTTTGGCTGCCTGCGGGGGCATTCATTGCGTTACGACACATCTAAGTTTCAATAATATTCTTATGTTAAAATTTGATGGCCAACTGTGGCCCCATTGGGGTAATGATTTGAACAAACTTAATTCTACACTACCCGAGGATGCTTCCATTTAAATATGACTGATAGTGACTTTGCTGTTCTTGAGATTTTTCCTGTATAAAACTTTGATCACCCATAGTCGCCCCACCCTACTCCTCCTAGGGTCAAGATCTTCACAAACCCGATTTTACACGGTTACGAAGCTCTTGCATAAGTTTTCTCTTTAACGACCCACCCAATTTTCATTTCTTAATTATCTCCCATTGGAAAGGGTGTGGCCTTTCCAGTTTGAATCTCTTTCGCCTCGGAATCCCATTCGGGTAATCGGTGCCAAGTTTGGTTGAAATAGGCCTAGTGGCTCTGGAAAAAAGAGGATGAAAATGTGAAAAGTTCACAACAAATTTTAATCAGAAAAGCTCACAAGCCTTCAGCTCAGGTGAGCTAAAAAGTTGACATACACTGCACAAAAGCTATAGGATTAACTCATTTAGGCTTCGGCTCATCAGAGCTAAAAAGATGGTCATTGATTGATTGAACTTCCTCATACCTGGAAATCTTTTGAGCCTGTCAACACCCTTCTAACAATTCCTTACAAAAGAATCACCAAGACAAGTTATGTATTTCATCTTTTATTTCAGATGGTAAGGTCAGTGCTTCATTTTATGAAGCACTGCATTACACAATTACATCCCCTTATAAATTTACATATTTACATTCACATACAAATGATGAAGTGGAATTAAAAATGTTTAGACTTTTACTTATATACATATACATGAACTGTACAAGCAGGTATTTCTCAGATGCAAGCATGACTCTAAATTATATAAGAAAAAAAAACCAGCAAGTCAACAATAAATAATAATACTCATCCATTTACACAAAATCAACATACAATCTGCTTGCATTGGTTTATAAGATTAAAGAGAATGGTGAATAATTTATTATCATGTAAAACTTCTCCCAAACACAAATATCACATTGCAATTACCATCAAATTGACAAGTCCAGTTCAGTTTGTCAACAACTCACAACACACATGCAAATACACAGCAGCATACCAGCACCATTTATTACTGGATACTCAAGTTGACTGCTAATATATAAATGTAACCTCACATTCATCTTACAGCATACTGTGTAGACATTCATTTTCTCAGAACTGGTCACCTTAATGTGAAAGGAATGCATACAGAACATAAACTTATCAGAATTTAACTGCAGTATAACATGTATTTAAAAAAAAAATAAACAACAAGCATCAAGTATTCAACAACTTAACACTAGCAACATATATTCAGTTGTATTCTAAGTAGCAAATCATTCAAAGAAGCAGTGAATGATATGGATCACATCAGTTTAAATACACTGAAACCATTTCCAGCTGTTTGTCATGATCAAAACATCTCCAATTATAAATGAAACAACACCTTAAAATGATAAACCCATGAAATTCCAGATTATTTAAATGCACAGATCCACAGATCTATGGTAGTTTATAATCCATAACGACAACAGAGATTCACTGCTATTATTTTGTGTACTGCATTCATCATGGCACCCACATGGACAGGAATTCTCACTTAGTTCATCACCAATTCAGGAATTCTACATGATCACTTTCACATTATAGAAAAAACAATACTATCACTAGTCAATCTTCACAGTGGAATATATTTTCCGAACAAAGTAGCTGGTGCCAATATACCCAAAGGTTCCTGAAATACAAAACAATCCATCTTTTAGGCTTAACTCACTTAAATCAGCTGATTGAGTAAAACAATACATGCATTTGTTAAACATAAATGTGAAAAGAAGAACTTACCACACATTAATCCTAAAGCTAAGCTGAATAATGCCATGTAACCAAAGTAAAATGTAGTTTGGAAAAAACCATACATTCTGAAAATGACAAAACAATTTTTAAAACAATAAAGAACCTTTCAAACACTAATTGTGCTGAATGATAAAGAATTTTCAAGACCTTCCATGAAGGTTGGTTCTAACTTACTTTGTCTTAAAAAAGAAGTAATAAAATGAATAGAGGTACACATATCCTGCCGTGGATGCAGCCGCAGAGAAACTCGTCCATTGCCTGCAACATAGTCATTTAAAAAGAAATGTCATAGCTTTATCAGGACCTTAAAAATTTAGTCAAAAAGAAGCTTACTTATATATTGTTTCTGTACAGATCAAACAAAAGTTTCAAGTTATGATTAGTAATCAACTGAAGGCTATTCCAGCAAAAAATGTATGGGTGGGGTGGGCAAACATTTTTCAAATACATTTAATAATACTTTACAATTTCAGGGCTCACACACCTTTTCTCATTTACAATGAAAATCAGAAATTCAGAAAATTTGACGAGGCCATTTTGCATTTTAAAAGTCTTGATACCATCTGAATTAATTTTTTCACCCAAACAATTAATAGCTTCGAGGATATTTCGCCTGTGCAGTTTGTAGATACACCCTTTACTTGGCGAATAAATTGTACTAAAAAAAAACTTTTTGTTGAATAAAAGATATTTGAATCTCTCCCTTTTCCCCTTTCAATTTTGGGCCTTTTTTGCTTATTTTTTTGCTTATCTTGCCTGTCAATTTTTTTTTTTCAGGCACTTGTTTTTGCATAACAATATCCCACCCAAACACGTCTGGTTATAAAATATGCATAAATGGACCATTATACTGTTATTAACAAAACTGGCAAATTGCTTCTTGGCAGTATGTAAATGAGATTCTGTGAAAGTTCATTGAATTTCATTTAGGGGTTTTGGAGGAGTTGCATTTACAAAATATCCTTTACAGAGTATAACGCCAAATTCTCTGTTTTGCTTTGGAAAACTCCAAATACTTGTCCAATCAAAATGTAAAATATGAGGTGCACAATGGCACCATGCAATAAAGATTTTGTTAAAGTCTCAACAAAATTTTATTCAGTGGTATAGGAGGAAAATAAAAGATAGTACCCCCAATGTTAAATAAAGAATGGCGAAGTCCATGTTTGCTATGGGAAACATCAAATACCTTTAACATCCAAACGTGAAATAAGAAGTGCAAAATGGCACTACATAATTAAGATTTTGCGAGTTTCATTCAATTGTATTCAGTGGTGTCAGATGGATTGCAGAGAGGATGCCTACCCCTTAGTTTAATGGATGGATGTACATACACCCCCCAACACTCACCCCCCCCTTTTTTTTCAAGGGGTATAAAAAATTGCTATGTGACACAGAATAAATGTATTTACTGTATGTAGCATTTATTATTCATTATCTTATTTGTCCAACTTTCTAAATACTTACCACCTATAGTCCTCCGCATTTAGTAAGAAGTATGTACACACAATGGTCACACAAACTGTCACTATTGTTAAGATAACAAACACTAGCAGCATAAAGCCATACACATAGTAGATCTTGTACGCCCAGAACGAGGTAAAGATAAAGTACCTGAAAATAAAATTTTTCCATTTCTAATAATCATTTCTCCAGATCATAGAACTTTCTTCACTCTGTATTTACTTTTTTTCAACTCAGTTAAATAGATGATTCTAAATCATGTAAATTAAGCAATGTAATTTTTTTTTTATTATGACAAACTTACATTTCAATAAATATAGATCCAAAAGGAAGAATTCCTCCTAAAACTATTATCACAGCTGGCTCCATGAACCTGGAAAAAGAAAATTAAAATTAAAATATATATTTAGAATACATGCACATAAAATTTGATTTTGCAAGAATACTGTGAATTTTTTTGATGGTACATGTATTTCCTTCCAACACTTTGGGGTTTCTTGAATGTTTTACCATTTCTTTTCAGGAATTGGTCTTGGCACAGCATTCACACGACATGGGTAGTTTGGCTGGCCCGCAAGATTTCTTCCCAACACAGTTCCCACCAAGGTCAATGGAAGGATAACAAATATACATATACAGGTCACAGCCACCTATCACCAGATAAATAAAATACATTAGGTAAATATATGTATAATACTTGGGCATTAGAGAACTATTATCAGAAATATTTAAATAGATGTACAATGTAGATCAATTTCTTTTTGGCAAGACTAAACAAGTGCAATAAAAGTTGAGATAAATACAATGTATTAATTATCCCCCCCCCCCCCCCATATGACTGAGCTATGTATGGTTTGATTATGTGTGAATAAAACCATATTTTACCATAGTTCCAAATGGAATGGCTCTAGAAGCATGATAGTAGATAGCAATGAAATTGATGAAGAAAGCAGTTCCACACACAGCTATTGGTAACATGAATGCTCCTACCAGCATTTGCTTGATCCACAACTTTCCTGGATCAACAGTGAAAAACATTTTTTAATTAAATTTAAATTATGGTCAAGAAACACTTGCATATATAAAATGTCTCTTACGTCATGTACATACTGATTCATTGATGAGGAAATCAATTGTTACTTCCTTGATTTTAACATTTCTATTTTTTTTTTTTAACCATGAATTTAATTTTGTTGATGTCTTGTACATTAAAGATTACTGACATACATGTAGATCTCAACAAAATTCTTTAAAACAATACCAACAAATGCCCATTATTTACCTCCCATTCTTGCATATAGACTTCCTCCAAAGTATCCATTGACAGGTGAGGTGGCCGCATACACAAATATCGCTGTACTCAGCAAAGAGCCTCTCCTACAAATTCAGTATTATTTACATTGTATATTAGTTAGGCTGAAAAAAAAAAATCAATCTAGTGTGCACCTCTTCTTCAGTAAATAATTTCCAATCAAGATAAAATCAGAAATCAGGGTTCAATATGATTTGTCATCTTCAGAAGAACATGCATTCACTTGGTGCATCTAAATACACACAAAGAGAATATTAAACAGAATATAAATCTCATTTTACAATTACCCTAACCATGATCTAACAGAGTCCCGGTATTCTCCAAACAAGAAAAATGTCAACCTCAGCTCAACATGTATTGTAAATGTATTATGTTCTGTTAGGGGCATGCTAAAACAAGTTATTTTAAATTACATTACTTGGGATATTTCACATTCTGAACAAACAAATTTTTTTTACTAATTTGAAATAACTTTTAAAATTAAAATTAGATTCTCTTATAATTTATAATTAATTTTTTTTAATTTACTGCTCATTTTATTGCAAAGTGTATTAAGATAACATTTTAATACTTCACTCAAAAGACACAAATTCTCCTTAACAGATCCAATGTATTTCTCAACAAATGTTCTTTTTCTGTGAAAATAATTACAGTTGTTTATGAGGCCTATGGCTCAAATTCCTTCATGTTTGTTCCCTACTTTTACATTTTTTTCCCTTTTCTTTTTCTTTTTTTTTTTTGGCAAAGCAGATTTTTGTGCAAATGTTTTAACTGATTTAGGGTCAATTTTAGTAAGTTATAATTTTCCTCTCATCATAATTACTGGTTTAGATATTAAGAGGAATGAGAAAGTTTTAATTAACTTTTGCTTAAAATTGCTCCATCTTGGTTGGATTTATGTAGCGATCTCCTAACATGGAGAAGATAATAACACACAGTGTGACGGTAGTGATGTGATACCCTGTACCAATCAGGGACGAGAACAGGACCTACTTACTCTGTGTAGAGATCTCCTAGTATGGAGAAGATAATGACACACAGTGTGACGGTAGTGATGTGATATCCTGTACCAATCAGGGATGAGAACAGGTGTAGAGATCTCCTAGTATAGAGAAGATAATGACACACAGTGTGACGGTAGCGATGTGATATCCTGTACCAATCAGAGACGAGAACAGGACCTACTTACTCTGTGTAGAGATCTCCTAATATGGAGAAGATAATGACACACAGTGTGACGGTAGCGATGTGATACCCTGTACAAATCAGGGATGAGAACAGGTGTAGAGATCTCCTAGTATAGAGAAGATAATGACACACAGTGTGATGGTAGCGATGTGATATCCTGTACCAATCAGAGACAAGAACAGGATTTACTTACTCGTGTAGAGATCTCCTAGTATGGAGAAGATAATGACACAGTGACACAAGTGTGACGGTAGCGATGTGATACCCTGTACCAATCAGAGACAAGAACAGGACCTACTTATTCTGTGTAGAGATCTCCTAATATGGAGAAGATAATGACACACAGTGTGACGGAAGCGATGTGATACCCTGTACCAATCAGGGATGAGAACAGGACCTACTTACTCTGTGTAGAGATCCCCTAGTATGGAGAAGATAATGACACACAGTGTGACGGTAGCGATGTGATACCCTGTACCAATCAGGGATGAGAACAGCAGGGGGTTTGAGGGAGGACGGAACACATCTCCATGGACTTGTTTCCAGCCATACTCGTCACCCAAGTCTTTCTCCTGAAAGACCAAAATCTCTTACAAAGTTGTGTTTTCTTTGAATACTTCGCTAAAATTAAAAAGAACTTACTCTCTAGATCAGATCAATATTCCAATCAGTAAGATCAGAAATCAGGGTTCAATGTAGGGTAGTCATCATTAGAGAAGCAAAGGAAATATTTCATCTTGTATTTTGCAAATGATGTGGACATTTCAATTCAAGAAACTTTCCACTTGAATATTTCTTACCATGTCATCTAGATCCTCTTCTTTGCTGTATCTAGCATAATCCTTTCTCAAAGTTCTCATAAGGATCATACTGACTAATCCCACCAAGAAGATGACCATCATAAAGGAGTTAAAGATGCTGAACCAGTGGATCTGAACAAGAACATCATCATAAATGGTCCAACTTCAAATGACTTTAAAGCCCAAAGGACTAAAAGAATTTATAAATATATACATACACATATTAAGTGGGAATAAAAAAGCTCTGAAAGATTTCAAAATCTCTTAGCCAATAAATTTCAAACCATTGATTTTAAGTGTCTATTATTACTATTAAGCATCAATATGGAAGCATCAGAAGATATATTTGCCAATCACTGGAAGTCAGGATTAGATGGTACGTTATTTTCATCCTATGCTCCCTGATAACTCAAGACAATATGTCTACTCACCCTGTGCTGGAAGAAGTTTGGATCCAAGTACTTGTCAAATCTTTTGTCAAACTTGATACTGGAAGGGGTAAAATGTACCTGAAATAAAGATGTGAAACAATGAAGTCCATGAAAAAATGGTATTAAGTGATATACTGCATACTTTAGCACTGTAAATTGTAAGATATTTCCCTATCAATAGGACATATTTTTTTTTTTTTTGTTTTTTTTTTTTAAATTGGTCTTTTAAATGTACTTTGGAAAATAAACTGTCACACTCACCTCATAACTGAAAGAGATTTTGCTCCCTACAGAAAGCTTTTTCTTGGCCTCGCTCGTTAAGTTGACATCTACAATCTGTTTCCCATTGTAACCAATATCAAACTTTTTATGTGTCCAGATAAAATATTCTTCTTTATTCTCTCCAATCTCCCCGACAATTCCTTTTCAAAATATAGACATATAATTAAAGCTTTTTTTCACAAACACACATTCAGAAAATATTAAACAGAATAATTCATTTTATCTGAAAGAGCTACAATATATGTATACATTTGCTTTGTTCTCTTCTTTCATCTAACTTAAAAATGTTAAAACAAGAACCCACTAGCATCAAATATAGGTAAAAAGTTCATATTCTTGATTTTTTGTATATAGTCCTATAGAGTATATTTGTAATGTGTATACCCCAGATTGGGAGGTCATCTATATACATCTGGTACCAGTAGTGATTCTTTACAGCATACACAAAGGCCTGATACTTCTCCTCTGTCAGCTCCACTGTACAGTACTCCGTCTTCTTCACATCTCCTACAAATGCAACATCACTTTCTACAATTTTGCAACCAATATTAATTATGTTGATACAGTTAGGGAAAAGATCAAAACCGTAGCATATATATAGTTTCAACACGTTTTTCTTTTTCCCTTCATATTGAAATTTTTGGACTGAAAACACTTTTCAAGAACTAAGAAAGTGTAAAACATTCATATGAATTCAAACATCTTGCTAACCTTTGAAGTCTATGTCAAGTCCACTGAACTCCAGCTCAGTTCCCTGGAGGGCCTCTCCCAGTGTCTCGTGGTAGTGACCAATACTCTCCTTTGGCCCAGCACAGAAAGGAAGGGAAAAGTAGGAATATGTCTCCTGTCTATTATGATAGGGGCCAACAGTGTTCATCCATAATACCACCTCTTCTCCATCTTCATACTAAATAAAAAAAATCAACAATTTCAATTTTTTAATGCATTAAATATATTGTTATAATTAGTATCGCTATCTTCATACCATCATATCCTATAGATCAGTCTGAGAAAGGCTGTCAACTGTTAAACCCGACTCATGAACAGTGCCCAAGTTCAATGTGTCCATCTTTACTGCGGACCAGAATGTCCAGTGTTTAGTTAGTTTTTAGCTAGTACTTTTGTTGCACTAAATAAATCTTTATTCCTTTAATCTTATAACAAAATAATTTAATTTTGTTTGTATTCTAGCCTCTGATTGGTTAATATCCAAAAAGGAACACAAACTATTTCTGTATAACCTGGTTAGGTATGGGACCCCCCCCCGAAAACCAGCTGAATCATCTGTATCCATACAATCCTCTCATTTTCAGTCCTCAGGATTCATGGAAAATTCCAGATTCAATAAATGTACCTTTAACTTCAAACAATAATTCGATCTTACCACGTGTAAACAAACAACAAGGCTGCTAGGCCTATGTATCAATTTTTACCTCCCCTCACTTCCCATCACTTCCGTTACTACGGTTGTATTATTGAGCGGCAAATTTGAACTAATAAAAAACAACGTAAATTTTACACCCATAGTTATTTAATGATTTTAAAATTAAATTATAAGGAATGACTTCAATTCTTGGCCAAATCATTCAAGTGTAACCTGGTTTAGGTCAGTTTACGCTTTATAATCAGCAAAATAAGGAATGACTCTAATTCTTGGCCAAATTATTCGAGTATAACCTGGTTTGGGTCAGTTTATGCTGTTTTATAATCCGCTTTGCGAATTATAAAGCATAAACTGACCAAACCAGGTTGTACTCGAATAATTTGGCCAAGAATTAGTGTCATTCCTAATATATCAAGTCAACTAAGGTTTGTTAATGAACACAACTAAAAACTCATGGATCAACTCAAATATTATGTGCGCCAATCCCCAGATGTGTTTGATATTTAATAGAAATGCCACAAGAAGATTAGAAGTCTATGTTTTATTCATTCTACATGTATTTTTCCTATTAATTTGTTTTTATTCAAGTCTGTGTGGGTTTTCAGTTTGAGAGAATTTGGTTGGTCCTGTCAGTACATTGAATACGCACAAAGGAGTCAGCAGTTTTATCAATAAAACAATATACTAAACAAAACCATGCAGTGGTCTTCGAAAGCTGCACCATTTGCCTGAGGCTGAAGGCAAACAGTTTGATTTGAAGGTTTGGCAAAATGCATTTTGCACAATTTTCATGTAAATTGCTTGAATTTGATTTGATGAGAATCATTTGTTAAAAATCACTGTTACCTTTCAAATGATGAAACCATGTTCTCCAGCGCAATAGAACTAAGCAACTGTCAATGTTGCTTGACGATGGTCGATACTAACTGCAGAATCTATGCCCGTTTGCTTTATCTTTATTTATGTTTGTACAAAACATTCAGTATAAATAAATACTGCATGAAATTTTCAACCCTCGAAATACAGCTGCACCTCAGTTGATTTGTTTGTTTGTATAATGTTTAATGTCCCTATCGAGAATTTTTCACTCATATGGAGACGCCACAACTTGCCGGTGGAGAGCTGCAAGTTTTGTGCTATACTCAGCACTTACGGCCATTGAGCAGTGAGGGATGTTTTTCGTGCCAGCACCTGCTGCGACACGGGACCTCGGTTTATACGGTCTCATCCAAAGGACCGGTCTCCACGTCCCACAGTGGGAATCAAACCCACGACATAAGGATCAACTCCTTACTTCGCAACTCTAGAGCAGATGCTCTAACCACTGTGCCACGCAGGCGACCACCTCAGTTGACAATGCAGGGTTTTCTTTGGGTGATTTTTAATGTTACCCTCAACATGCAGTATTTATGTATGTTTATAACTTTTATTATGACATACCCTCCGTGTTTTCATATTTCTGACTATAATTGATTGACATTGCTTTATTTGATAAAACTGACGACTCCTATGGTATGCAGATTGAATGTCATGTATGACCCAATAGATTTTATCAAAGTCTATCATGCTTATGGAGGTAACAAGAACATCTCCATCCGATTCACTCTATCATACGTATACATTCATCACTGAGATCCTGAAACCACAAATTAAGACCATTTCTAGTGCCTTGCGCTTGCAACATCATAACACGTATACAAGTTCATGGAACATTTGAGAGTCAATTAAACCCCCCGATGTTGTATCGTTACACGACACTATGACTCTACCACTTCTTCGACTGTAAAGTGTAAACAGAAAAACTGCATAGAAATAGGCCTATTTGACTAAAGTTTACCGGTTTGTGCAATAAATGCTTACCACATGATCGTGTTCGTCAGCTAAAATACAGATGAATAGAAAGAAAAATATTTTTGGAAAATTTTTCAGCATTTTGAAACTCTGATCAACTTTGGATGGTCTCCAACTGATCAGATTTTAGACGATGTTGTCGACTATGTTGATCGTCGTTAAATTTCAATATGGCTACCACGGAAGAGCCACGTCACATACAAAGGGAGATAATTCCATTTCACATATCAACTTTTCTATAATTTGAGAATATTTAAGAAATATAAAATTAAAAAAAGAAGAAGAAAAAATTATAATAAATAAATAAATAAATAAATAAATAAAGAGCAGAACTAAATTGATCAACTATATTATTGATTGTAGTTTGTCCGAGTCAAAATAGGTAGGCATAAAGAAAGAATAGATTTTATTTATTCATTAATTTTATTTATTGACAAAAAAAAAAAAAAAAAAAAAAAAAAAAAAAAAATGGCGCAAGTCTTACAATATATAAGATTTCCTTATGTGAAATGTATCATGCATGAAATTACAAATATTTCTTGTTGATTTAACATCTACATTTGATGCATAATAGTTAAAATGTCAGTGTACAATATTCACTTCGCAGAAGTTCATAAAGAGGACAGTCCTACAAATAAAAAATGTTGTTCATCTTCAACAACAGTATCTGCCAACCTCTATCTGTAATTCATGGGCACTTATTCTTAATTTAATCGAGTCAAAAAAGAACGAAGCTTTTTGGAAATGGGAAAAAGTTAAATGCGGTTGAAATTCTAGTTTGTTTAGATTTTGTGAACTTATTAATAGTGATTAATTGGCCGTAGAATGACAATTTTCAATGTCTCTGAAAACTAAAATGTTGAGATATCCCGAATTGTAACAATTTTCTTTAATCTGTAATAATATCTATACAATAATATATATAATAATTCTAAAATTAATGGGAAGAGCACCAAACTCCACTCTAGCTGCTAAATTAAAAGATTTATTATGAACCTCCTAAAGTGGTTTTTTTGTATCTTAAATTGAACCTTTCCGGAAAGACTTAGATTCTTTGGTAGCTTTGATTTATTTATAAAACATCCCTCCCTTGCTCTATACCTGCTAAACTCTCGCGTGCTTATTTCAATTAACCATTATTATTTTAGGACACCCAAATATTTATATTCGTCAACAAAATCAATAACATCTTATATATACCTCATTGCTTTACAACTCAAGTTTTAGGGTTCTTACTAAAAAATACCATAGCATTAATTTTGTTTGTATTTACTACTAACTTCCAGTCACAACGTTAACAGTATATTTCCAATGAGTCAAGGCAATGTTGTAGCCCATCTGCTGATTCTGATATAAGTAAATAAATTTCCACTATATATATATAGATATATATATATAATCAACAGGTCTTCGCCCTAACACTATAGCACCCCTGATCCAAGGGCCACGAATTTCACAATTTATGAAGAGTCTTACTCATCATATTCATGCACTTAGGTTGTCTGCAAAATATACAGGGGGAAAGAATTTTTAAAAAAGAACTTATGTATTTTCACTATATGATCAAAAGAGCCCACGCTAACTCCAGAACCCCCGAACCTTGGGTCAGTATGGAAAGTTGTATTTAACCCTATCAGCAGAGGTGTCATCATTCCAGTATTCAATGAGATTTTCTTAAATTTCAAAAATCAAATTTGCACAATGGAATTAATCATTATATTCCAGGCAGTAAAGTAATAATTATGAATGGGAAACCGTTGATAATAAGGTAAACATGGTGCACAGACTGAATGGCATAGTTACGTAAAAATTACATTAAGCAGTCTTCAAAAACGTGTCCATTGCCTTTACAATGAGGGACTCCAGAATTCTTTAATATCAACTTATAGTACTTGTGTGTAGAATCAGAGTGATTATTAACGAAGTTAATTTGTTGATGACCAATCACAAGATATGAAAATCTCCGACTACCGTTTTTATTGAAGAAGCAGTTGTCCATGATATCAAAAGCCTAGTTTTAATTTATCGTTAGGAATGGTTGTATAAAGTGTAAAAAAAAGTCATTAGTTTTGATGTTACTAACTTTTGATATGAAATGTGGAAAACGAGCAGTAATCAAGCTCAAAAGTCCTTTGAAGTAATACAAATTGGGAGCAGACAAACACGGACCTCTAAAAACATCAGAGGTTGGTTTGGTAGAGCACTTGCTGGACCCCACAATGTATCTCAGGATTTTTATAAAGTTTAGGAATGAAGTATAGGTAAGATAGATCAAACTCACCTTCGTTGACTGGAATGTTAAAGATACTAAATGCTAAAATGTGATTTTGAAGAATTTCATCCTTAGGAAGTAAACTGTGAGCATAAGAAGTATTTCCAGATGTAGAATTAAAGCAAAGTTCTTTTAAATACAGTTATAGTAATGCGCCTTACAAACAAAGACATTGTTACAAGCCTTTTCTGCTGGAACCATAAGATATTATTCATGCAATCTTTCTAATTCTTTTACCATCTCCGATTTAGTGAAAAGGAAGGATAGATGGTTCGCATATTGCCTTTTAACGTTCTAACACGATTTTGAATATATATATATATATATATATATATATATATATATATATATATATATATATATATATATATATATATATATATATATATATATATATATATATATATTCTTGATCCATTTTGATAAAGTGTTCAAATTTTCCCCTTCATATTTCGCCCAACATCTGGCATAATCTTCAAGAGAATTCAAAATAGAAATGAAGTTCTGCCGCCAATGGAGAGACCTTTTAAAATAATTCCTTTTAGATCGTAATTTTCAACTATATTAACATCAACAGTAATGACGTGTCCAGCGGGACTAGAGTTGAAAGAAAAGGGAGAGCAAGAACACTTCAGGATTTTGTTTTTGAAGTTCAATATGTGAGCAGGGTTTGTTTAATTGAAAAGTTTGAAAGCAACTGTTTTAGAATCTCTTTAGGAAATGAATGGTGTAGACTTCAACCTGACAAGACAGAATATTTTTTTTTATCATTATTAAGAATGTTACTAATGTTCACAGCATTTATTCCTTTGTTAGTCAATTTAAAGTTAAGGAACCGACGAGTTGAATCGGAATTAATACAAGCATCTTCCGACACATGTGGCGGCTTCAAGAGCCTGTGCTGGGGAATATCCACAAATATTCACAAAAAAGTCACAAATATACTAACTTATATCCTGCAGTTGAAGAATCCAAGTATGGACTTGGTTTAGCTTCTTCAACTAGTCCATTCAAAAATTTCAAGGGAACCAAATAAAGTTTAGTGCGAATGTGATGAAGATCTAATTGCTTATTGAAGTAAAAATTAAGTGAATGAAAAAGAGACATCATTTGTATTTGGTCCATTGTATGATCGATATACATGACTACGCCAACGTCTAGATGCATGTTTTGTTAAAAAGTTCCATCAGATTCACACTGAAACATGCGGGCTTGAAATTTATGTGGTCGTTGCAACCATACGGAAATGCATTGCCTTGTTCTCTGATCAGGTATTCTTCTCGTTGTCTGGATGGAATTCTGAAAGTGTGACTATCAGTTGGATGATATATTTTCCCCCAAAATTATAACCCTCATTGAAAGGATAGAGTGGTCAGGCGAATTGAAATGTTTGTAAAGATGTTGATGGTCCCCAGTATTTAATTTAAACCTATGCCCCGACATTGTCTTATTGAGTGAACCCTTGGTTTCCCCATTATAAATCAATGCGCAGAATACGTTCAATTTCATAGACAACGTTCGAAATTTTCAAAAGTTTTAGTATATATATATATAAATATATATATATATATATATATATATATATATATATATATATATATATATATATATATAATTGAGGTCCTATTTTATTCTCATAGTTACAAAGTTCGGTGCTGCAAACAAGCTTGAAAAATCTGAATTTACCAGGAAGTTCATCAAACTTTCAGAAAAAAAAAAACAAAAAACTTTGCACAGAGGATATCCTATCTTGAGATCAAATTAGTCTATATACTATTTATAATAATTCTGTGTGGGAAAAAATGAACAATTGAACACACTTATTTAAATCAATTCAAAACATAATAAAAGTTTGTATTCCAAGAGAAATGAATTTTAAATCAATTCAAAACATAATAAAAGTTTATTCTAAGAGAAATGAATATGAAACAAAGAATAAAAGTTTAGAATATTGATATAATTTGCATATACATTTTGAAAAAAAATATGATCAATAAAGTACAACAATAACTCTTTTCTTATTAAAAGAAAACAGACAAACAAAATCCGAGTATTTGATGGGGTTCAGTTGAGTCCTTTTCTCAACTATTGACATACAGTTCCTCTGCTCTCTGTTCATTGACGTATAAATCCTCGCTTTGTTCTTCGTCACTCTCCTCTTCAAGGCGTTCAAGTAGCTCTGTTCTAAAACCAGTTTCTAATGCACTTAGTAGAAACTGATGCTCTTTCTGTAAACGAAAATATGCTGTTCATTTAATTTGTAACTTAAATAAACAGATATCATCTTACGTTTAGTTTCTTAAATATCCATCCATCTATTTACATGTACGTGACTGAATTATTTATCATCATCTTTACCTGTTAAATATTTTAAATTTAATCTTTTCTTTTATATTTGAAAGGTTGTATTTATCTTTTTATTATTATGCAATACAGTCAATTCTCTATGTGCATTTTAAAAAAAAAAACAAACTATGTAGCCGGACCTTCAATGAATAAAATTAGTTGTTTAAAAAGGATGTCTTTCTTTCCAATATTTATATTCTGTTATTCATTTTAATTGGTATATAAGTTTTAGCTGATTCAATTACTTAACAAGATTTATTAACACCGTTTCCTTACGATGCAAAGCTTCATTGACATTTGATACAAACATATGGCACGCCGATTGCTTCAAAATTATTTTCTGCACAACGATCACGATTTTATACACGAGCTTGATGAAAAATATACACGAGTAAAATAAAAATGCACGTATCGGTAAACATTGCACATAGTTTGAAAGATCTAACACAAACATAACGAAAAATACACGAATCCGAAATTTTGTACACGATTAATGGGTATAAAATGCACAAACGTAAAATCAAAAACTGCACGAGCAGAGGAAACTAAAAATTACACAAACAATTTTACTGCGCATACAGCTGCGCATATCATTATTATGCACATAGAATATTCATTGTGTTCTTGGTTTTCTGTACTCTTTATCTCTTCTTGAATGCTGGATGTAATCGAGAGAAAATGGCGTTGACGATGATATGCATGTTTGTTTGCTTCTTTATTTCTTTGCTAAAACTCGATCCGATTTCTAGCTAATGCCAATCAAACGAATGAAGTGTTTTCTTGTGAACTGTGTGAAAAAAATTAAAAGTGGTTCGGAGATATTATATTTTTCTTATATTGACCGAGATCCTAGCCAAAATATGGAGGTATTATATGATGATTATATGATACATTGTGACAAGAAAGAAATCGCATGTTTGTGTTATAATGCGGGGGAAAATAATGCACTCGACTCTGAACTAAAAGTAATACACAGCAAACTCTAAATTCCTAACGATAAACAGATCTTGCTTAAAAAAATGATAGAATTATTTTTTTTTTAAATATACGCTCTATGGCCTTTTAAAATTATCTAACTTATGGATACAACTTTAACGGAAATTACTAGTATAAAATAAAATTAACACATGCATAATAAAACGATTAATAAAGTGGATTCTTCATGAAAATGATGGCAGAATTATTGCTGATTATAATCATTAAATTGTAGAATTTATTTCGGTACTTCTCATTTGTACTAATTATGATTTCATTTGAACAGATTTTTTTTTTCATTTGGGAGTTAGCTGGATATATTTTTTTATTTTCAAAAAGATTAAAAAGTGGGGATTACCTGACCTTAGATATACACAGTATGTTTTCAAAGTCAAACATAAAAAAATATTTCTAATTATACATATATCTTTACTTATAAAATATGAGGATATCAATTTTGGTTGGATATCTGTAGCCTACACTGTTATGAATTCCTTCCATGATATCGCATATTTTCAGTCAAAAACTGCTCAATAAAAAACAAGACATTCCTAAGGGAAAGCCTCATTCGTAATGGGGATTACTTGATAAATGTTTTCACTTTTAATAAAAAAGGACCAGGTAAAGGAAAAATATATACTCTATGTGCTTTATATACATGCGGTTTTGTGTTTTGTTACTTAAAATTTCTCCAAATGAAATAACAAAACTCTACTCAAATGATCCTGGCACCGGTAAAACTAATGACATTAGTGGCGGATCTGGTTCGTGGATTGATTGAGTCGCAACATCTGAATCTATGTATTTATTAAAGTTTCAAATAGTGAATTACTAAATACATCTACGCACAATGTTACAAATAAGAAAATGGGAATGGATATTATAATAAATAGAAAGAACATAGAACGTGTTTTATCGCTCTTGAAAAATGCAAATAAATCATGTTCTTTATGGAGCTCGGGGTTTGACAAAGATTTTCCAAGATAACAAATTTTCTTTACATTTCGAATTTGTATGCATAAAATTTTAATTATTACCCGAACACTTGTTTTTTTGTAATAACACTTTTTTACCCAAAGATATAGTCATTATAAAAAGAACATGACTGTGTAATTATAAAATGAAAATAATCTTCAATAACATTCAAGGAACATATTTGATACAAGCTCCACTTTTCAAAAGATTCGTGTGCATATCTAACATTTTTGAAAATTCAGATTATGAGTTAAAAAGCCTAATCTATGCAATATGGATTATGTACGTACAGTGTATATATATACAAGTAATTAAAAAGTTTGCTTTATAGCAATATTGTACATGTGTATCAATGGCATCAACCAGGTCTTGTTTTTACTTCGACCATGACTACGAATAAATATAAGAAAACATATGATGAATATAAACTTCAAGAAATTTTTATTTTATTACCGTGTGCAAATTTATTATTGTCAAAATCTGCATTGAAAATAAATATGCATATGCATGTAGCCAAGTCCCAGCTAATTAAGTTCATCTTGTACGTCTTCTTGAATTTGGTCTTACAATATCGTTACAAATCAGTTAAATTGCAATCCTGATTTCGATAGACTATTATATGTACCCTTAAATTCTTAGAAAATATTTCAGGCACGTAGCATCAGTAGGGGCCTGCCCCCCTTTTTTTTCCAAACATAACCTACTTCTATTGTAAATGTCCACTGAAAAGCTGGTTGCCACCCCCCCCCCCCCTTGTTGTAGGATAGTTTAAATCAAAGTAACTTGGTATTATAATGTGTTTCGAAAACAAAGTGGAAGGTGGACACCCCCCCCCCCCCCCAAAGAAATAGGATTTTCGAGTTTGGAGACTTTACCTTTTTTGTTGCTTGTCAAGGTTTTTTCAGGTAGGTTGTCAAAAAAAAAAAATCTGGCTGCCCCCCCCCCCTTTCAAAAACGATACTACGTGCCTGTATTTTATGATTTTAAATTTTCTTCACTCCATTATATGCATTTTAACTATTCAAAATAGACTACCGCCGGTACATTAAAAACAACATAAAATTAAGCTTTAATTCACATAGGTTAAACGACTGTATAATTTTTCTACAGTTTCATGGAGTTTTATGAAATCACCACACGTTGCTCAAAAGTTAAGACTACATGTCTTACTTTGTTACATACATATATCAAAAAGTGAGATATGCGTTTCAATATTAAAATTTCAGTTGCACAATTATTTGCTCGATTTTCTTTACTGTTGACTTCCAAAAAGTTTTCGGTCAAATTCCACAACCCAGATGATCGCAACATTGCTTAAAAATCTTTGTATGAATTGCAAGTAATCTTTAATCAAAAGGTATTATTGGTGTGTGAAATAGCTATAAATCGATTAGCGTACAGATGTCTTTCGTTCCAGAACCAGCAGGGAGGGATCTCTGTATGAAAAGGTCACGCATGCTCATCCTTGATTATTACCAAAAGTACACTCAGTGGGGGGTGGAGGAGAAGAGTTTGATTTGTTGTTAACTCTCCTGTATTATATCACATGTTGTTTTTATTTACATGTATTTTAATTTAGGCCTATATGTCATAGTTTTAAACTTTCAAAAGAAATTGCTTTATAGAGGAATGACCTACTAAAAAAATCCAACAATAAAACACAACGGTAATATGCAACCCCCCCCCCCTTTTATTTACGTTATCTATACAGTATTCTTTGTAGAATGTTTTTTATTCGGGAGTATTCATATACTACAAGTTTAAAATTGTGTCTGTCAATTTATCTACATGTATAATATACGTTCTACATATTCTTGAGAGTCTAACGGAATTTTAAAAGAATCTTAAATAAAAAGATTACTAACACTTTACTCCTCCTTTTGTATATATAGTATGTTTCAAGCATCAAAGCCACATTGACCTGTTCTCTAATGAATATTAATGAAATGTGCGCAATGAGGATGCGTTGCGTATTATGTCGATGTTTGTATTCTCACTCGTGCAGTTTTCGTTTTTACGTTTGTGTAATTTTCTCACTATATCGTGTAAATATTTTATTGATTGTGCAGTTTTTCTATAGTTTGTGTATATTTCAATAACTTCGTGTATATTTTCCCCACTTTGTGTAAGTTTTTACTTACTCGTGTAATTTTCGTTTAAGGTCGTGCAGAAAATAATTTTGAAGCAATCGGCGTGCCATACAAACAGGCCGTCTTGAAACATGAACATGGTAAATCAAACAAAATTTTCATTGAGACAGAAAAGGTTATAATTCCAAAGCAGTAGGATAAAGCATTCAAACTGAATATTTCTATTTCATCAATTAAAAAAAATTCATATCACTTTGCAAACACACGTATAAGAGGGTGATCAAAAAGTTTGCAAACTAATTGAATTACTTCCTTAAAAGATATATAAAATGAGGTTTCAGTGCTCATTATTTTTTAAGGTAGTCCTCTCCGATTATAATGCACATCTGCCATTGTTCTGTCCATGCGCGAATCACGTGATCCAGGCGGTCACGTGGCATGCTCCGTGGCGTTCTGTTCACGATGCTAAAAGATTTTTCCGAGTCTTATATTTCTTAATATGCAAGTTATTTTTTATAACAAGAACAGTCCATCTGTCGGAAATGACCAAATCTCGGCAATAGGGTGAGCACATAAGGACATCCCTTCCCAGAATTAGTATGGTGAACATCAAAACCCGAGTCCTCTGTCTCGGAAGCGTCGTTTATCTAATGTGGATAAAGTATGGATGACCTCCTTTTTTAATCATTTCTCATATGTTTAAAGTCTTAAGTAAACGATATCTTAGGGATTTAATAATTATATTATTGTTAAGATATGCAACTATTTTTCTAATTGTAACTTGACGATCTTTCATAACAAATATTGCTCAACTAAGGACACACGGCCTTTTCCCCGGCTTGCTTTCGCTGGCAACAGAAAAAAAACATCATTTTTAACCATCTCCCTATCTTCACCAAAACAATCAATCCAATTAATGATTGAACTTCTGGTAAGTCTTTTGTCTTCATAAACCTTGTACAAATTATCATATTCTACTGCAAAGGAATTTCCAAGATATACTTTAAACTTTACAGCCGTTCGTTGCTCGAGTACGACTGAGTCAACCATTTTTTGTCACAAGTCACCTACATGTTGACGTCATTTTCACATTGTGACGTCACAAACACGGAGCAAAACATTATATAACACCTGCTATTTATAGAGTATGTGTATGACTATATGTGTGCCAAATTTCCTCTGATCTGAATTGTGGTTTTGTAAATACATGTATAGAGATAGTTCGCGAACTTTTTGATCACCCCTCGTATATATAAGGATTTAATTCCAAGTCACATCGATTCTTAATGTTAAGGTAACAGAATGAGATCTTTTCTCATACCCTGTCTCTTAGTATGTAGGGTCTCTGAGACCTCAGTTTGACGAGACAGTCCATGATATCTATAGTGTCCTCCTTGAGGCCCTGTTTGAGGAGGTAATCGATTGCTATGTAGATACCCATCCTACTGATGCCTGGCCTGTAAGATAAACACTTTGTATCATTTACAAATACTGAAGAAACCAGTTAAACTGTTAGTTAAGGTTTTCTTATGCCTGTACTGAAATCGTCGAAGTACGCTAAATGCAGGGGCAAAAATGAGTAGTCAAAGTTGTTTCGAACGTGAAAAGCGTTTTAAGTACATCGGTTAAAATATATTAATTTAGAAAAATTCAAACATATATACATGGTTCTGAAAGTGAGAGTGTTTTAAACTCACCCCGAATGAATAATTACTGGCACATTTTCTGATGAGACAAAAGAGTTGACATGTGTTCTAAGTCGAAGCAAGGTGTTTATCCTTTTGTGTCTTTTAGCTTCTCCCCATGACGTATATTGGAAGTGAACCAACCTTCTTGTCTCTCCATTCTATCAAGAGCACACATTATCACAAAGGATTACATCTGCATAACATTGTTCATCTTTACTATTGTGTTAGTGCTAATTAATATGTTTTTGCTCTTGTGGGAAGGATTTTATTTCACATTTTAATAAGAAATACAAGATGCCAAATATTCAAAAAATCTATATTATTTCGAATAGATTGCCAATATAAGGGTGTTACCTAAAAAAATGGAAAATGAGCAAATATAAAACTATAACAGACAGTGTAGTATTTACTGAAAAAAAACCTAGCCAAATAAATGATAAAATGGAGAATTTAGATATGCTCAACATTTTATTGGTGAGAGCGTTTTTTTCTTACCTTTCTAAGTAAAATTTTTCTCATTAGGTAGTCATCAAACGTTTCTGTATTTTGTATCAGGATAAAGAAAGGACCACAATCTCCAGATTCGTCGGGCCAGTACTTAGAACATTTTTTCTTTATAAAAGATAAAGAAATAAATTGCCATTCACTAAAATTAAGGTTTTTTGAATGTTTAATGCTTCATTAATAAATAATACAATGAAAAGAAATTAAAACGAACTCGCTTAGTATGCTATTCGCAATGTCGGATCGTATTCATTATTCAAAGAATTACTCACACATTTTTATGACGGCCTATCCTAGTCGTGTAACAAAAGTTCAATTTTTACTTTTCCTTATTAAAAACGTATTTTTTTTTTTTATACAAACTTATAGTTATATAGGTTATAATTTTTTCAAACCGATAAAAATGCTGAGAATAGATGTTACAATATATTAGTCAGAGAGTATCATATGGTTCTAAATGTAACAATATGGATTTTTTCCCCTATACAAGCCTATAATTGAAATTAAAAAAAGAAAAGGAATATAAAAGGAATTTTTTCACGACATGATGAGAAGGACGATGCAATACATATATGAGTATTTTGATATTACGGACCAAACAGGATCTCATCTGAAGCAGCGTGATTTACATTAACATTATTTCTGCAATGTTAATTATAGTACAACGACTCCTTCCGTTAAATATTTATTTATTTACATCAAAATGTTTTTTATCGAAAAAAGTTACCCCAAAACACATTCCAGTTGTAAGCATAATTATTTATATACTTTATTAAGAACATAACATTTTATTTATTGTAAATATAAATTACTGTACCTTTTCTCCCTCTCTCAGGGCCGCTAACATTACAACACATTTACAATTAGTCTGCCATACCATTCTCCAGAAATCCAAAACAGTATCTGGTGTAATTGGACCTATCAAGGTTCAGTAGTAATTGTTAATATTAACGTAATGAAAAACAAACAAACAAGCAATCAAAATCTTAGCACCTTAGCAACAACAACAACAAAAAAGAATAAATATAAAAATAAAATATAAATAGTAAATAAATAAATAAATAAACAAAATAAAATAAATTAAAAAAAATAATAATAAAAATTACCGTTCAATGAATCTGTGTTAATGTCAAAAGCACTTACCTAAAGTGAGGATATACGCCTTTTCTTTTCTATAAGACTAGAATATGATAAGAATTGTTAGAAAATGATAATAATCAACGCATATTAAATTAAAGACGTTCATTAGAATTTAGAACTAGCTTTTGATGAAAAACTGAAGTTTTTACCGAAATATAGCTTGCGTTAATATAGTCATTTTGATCCTGAACATCGTCCTTGGGTTCTAGAACTACACGATTCCGGTCATCTAGGAAAGAGAGAGACATCAACTTGATATATAGGACATAAATCTTATTGAGATCCTTGTGAACCTCGCAAATATCTACTGTTTTACCATTAACAACTAGTCGCCCGCGTGGCGCAGTGGTTAGAGCGTTTGCTCTAGAGTCGCGAAGTAAGGAGTTGATCCTCATGTTGCGGGTTCGAATCCCACTGAGGGACGTGGAGACCGGTCCTTCGGATGAGACCGTATAAACCGAGGTCCCGTGTCGCAGAAGGTGCTGGCACGAAAAAGATCCCTCACTGCTCAATGGCCGTAAGTGCCGAGTATAGGACAAAATTTGCAGCTCTCCACCGGCAAGTGGTGGCGTCTCCATATGAGTGAAAAATTCTCGAGAGGGATGTTAAGCAATATACAAACAAACAAAAAATCCATTAACAACTGTAGCACCAATCAATACTGGTTTATGCAATTTTATTACTAATCTATTGTTAAAAAAGAGCATGTTTTTTGTGAAAATATTTTCAATAGAAATAGGAATGAAACTGATCTTATGCTTACATGGAAGCAATGTTGTCGATCTATTTTTAGGTTTATTTTCCTCCTTTTCTGCCTCAAAGCATCTCCCCATTAGCCACCCCGGGAGACTCTGTTCAAACAAGATACCTCCTAAGTGACTTGTAAGTTCTCATTGGCTTTTTCAAGGAATTGACTTTACTTATTTAACTATATTACATAACCTTGTAGAAGGCACTTAAGACATCAAAAGATTTCGGAGTTTATCAAGAACCTCTTATTATACAGAAAAAATACTTTAGGCATGCATTTGTTTACCCCCAGGTCTTTCAACAGAGTTTCCACGTTTTGCCTTTCTTTCATGTACTTGATAAATTCGACTGGAGACATTTTGATCGTGTTCTGGCCATCTATCATATGAACGTACTCCACCGGGCAATCACTGAGAGGAGAAGAAGGAATTTGTTGGTCAGAAGAGCTTGGAACAGCCACATTCCGGTTGGTTGTTGAGTACGTTACAATGACGTCGTCTGGACGAGGTCGTTGTGGTCGCTTCAGGAGTTTGAATATTTTTGTTCGTCTGGTCAAATGCAAGAGAAAATAATGAGTAAACCACTGTATTATCTATTATTAAAATAAAAATTATTGTAAGTACTGATAAGTATTTATAACCCTTAATTACAGCCAATAAAAATCTGTTAACCATGGATTAATTGGGATATCTTCTAATCGAAATTTGCTGAGAAACTCATGTTAGCCGATGAACCTCCTGCTATATCAACAAGAGCATACAAACAATTTCTGAAACGAGGCAAGCTATTGACAAACAAGTTGATTAAACAAGAATATCAACAGTCTCGTTTAAAGTCATCATTTTGCAAGTTCTGTGGTCGATAAATGACCTTATCAGCAAATACAATCTATCATTAAGCCGAATGTTGACTGACGTTTTTCATACTAATTGTTAGACCATAATTTACACACTGAACGGTGTATGATTTTTTAGGGTTTTCATGACACGAAGCACACGGCAGGTGTGACCGATCGTCAGGGGATACGTATTCCTCCATGGTACCTGAACCCACCTCTGACGTATTTTAGAGGTTCTTGTTTGCTCTGCTCCTATTTTGTATTGTTTTAATGGACTTTTGAGCTTGATTACTGTTCGTTATCTCTATATTTCATCATAAAAAGGTATTTTGAAACATTTAAGTATAGAGAAACTCTCAGAAAACTCGTATCACAAACTGACTGTATGAATAGAAAATTGTATTGTTGCTGGGCAAAATGATCTTAGCCAATGTATTTCATAAATTCTTATCACAGGAATAAAATATGAAATATATTGTATTAAAGGCATTTACCAGAATAGTTTTTGATGAAAATTTTTAATATCTCATTTTCCCAAAATATATGTGTGAATTAGGTTACAAAATTCTATTGCCAAGAAACCGTATAACCTTTGATGGTTTCCTTGTTTGAATTATATAATTTTTTTTTTGTTTAAAATATACTGTTTGCTAGAAAAAAAATATTTTCTATCTCATACAAATGCATTAAATTAACAATTCCTGTATAGTCTATAGAATTCAAAATATCCATTATCTTGTGATCTACGTTATCATGTCTGTGTACCTTTAATACAGCAGCTATCTTGAATACAAAACTATCAATGATGTCATTATTTTACATAATCATGACGATATATCAGAATGCTGGTTTTTGTTTAAAAGACTAAATAAATACGTTACAGTGATTTACGTTGCATATGAATCATATGTTGTACTCAGGGCAGACTTTCTCTGTTATGTATAAATATTTAAAAAATCTTTCATTCAATTTTTTTAAATCAAGATTTGACAATTATAAACTAAAGTGTTTTCTTCAATATTAGGTTTAAAATATGTGAACTTTTTTTCATAGTCATTGGCACAACTAAGCTGAATTCGGGGGAACAACTAATCAAAAACCGGTGTTGGTTGAGAAAGATAAAATTTATCTGTCATTGTTGTTCAGCGGACAGCAAATCACTTCAGATTCCATATTTTCTCTATATTAAATTGATTAAAAAGCATCGCATCAGTTCAATTAAAACATTCTCTTTCCATTTGATAATTAGTGTTTATTAACAATTTGAGGGGAAATATATGAAAGAAATTGTACTTGACTTGTCATATTGCTCATGATCAATAAATGGTGTTTGATAAAAGTAAAGGTCTATATATATTTTATATACTTAAATCTTTATAAGTTTTAATGCTGCTGTCGAGGGAAATATTGAAGAATGTATGCTGAACTTACCGCTTCACAATAACCCCAATAATGGAGGCAACAATCAAAACCAGGCAAAGGAAAAATACCACGATAATGACCACGTTCTCTAAAAATAAAGTTAAAATGATCCATGGGTCATCATGCTTACCTAATATAAATAGCTCTCACTTCCTGCTTAATTAACGAAAGCTCTTCCTATGGTCTTAAAATAAATACGATGTCCTAAATGTGAATGACTTAAAAGAAACTTAGCTGTTTTTCTTTGAGTATATTTTTCCTATATTTAAGTCCTTCCGTGTCCTCATTTTGACCTTAAAGACCATAAACTGAAAAACCCAAATCACAGGACAACGAAACTGCTTGCATATTATGACTTATTATAATTTTCAGTTTTGTTTTGAAGAATAACATTATATTAAATATAAAAGCCATTGAATCTTGTCCATTGTGTTGTCCTTATCCCCTCCCCACCAACAGGTACCATAGCCCCTCCCCACCAACAGACATCTTAGCCCCTCCCCACCAACAGTCATTCCTTGTTCAAAGCTGTAATCATTACACGGGGATACTGGCATATTATTTTACCCTTGCTGAATGTAATAAAGGTATTTCCCTATAAATCTATTTTTGATAAAAATGTTTTTATCCAGTACTTTGACCAGAATTCACCAAATTTGAAAGATATCGCATAATGACGATCATATATTAAAATTCAATAGTATAAGTTCGTCTAATTAAGCGAATTAAGAAAAACTTTTCTTTCATATTTCTGCAACTCCTTACACTTTAAGGTGTTTACATGAGGTTCTGTCCATTTGATTTGGAGACATCTAAATCGAAAAATGCTAACAAGAACAGTTAGACGATGTTTTAAATTAAAATTTTATCAGAATATCAAGAAAGTTCATTTCATATCAAAAACAAAGACTAAAACAAATGTGTGATAATCGCAATATACTACAGTATCTAAGTTTTGCTGATTTGGACAAACCTTTCCTGCATTTCCCCTCTGCTCTATCACACGTGTCATCTGAACAGAAATGGTGACATTTTCTTTGACACATTCTTCCAAAGTGGGTATTTTTACAAGACGTGCAAGTTCCGTCCACTTTCGAACAGCCACCTTTACAGTTTTGGTGACAAGGCATACAAGAGAATCCATGAGTGTCTTCAGGGCAGACTAAAAAAATCTTCATTTATTATTTACAATTATTCTACATAAACACCCATTTGATAAAAAAAATTTGGCAAATAATGCATAATCTGGAAATACTAGTAATTTATTTACTCTAGGCAATTTATAACTTTTTTGACAGAAATATTTCTTAAACTACTCATATTTAGATATTGTTTATTATTGGATTAGTAATGCATACCAACTGGGATGATTTCATTCAAAATTAGAGGTCCTATTCCATTTCGCTGTACTGTTATAGTGTTGCCCTCCAACTCGTGCATACATGAAGCATTATGGGCGACATGAGCATAATGCTGTGGTGGAATAATGAAACTTCTACATAAGTATCGTTGTTCAGTAGTTCTACCGTTGCTGATAAACACGTTATAATTCCCTTAAAAGCCACAAGAATAAGAGCACTTTAATGCAGTCAAATTTAATATTAACCGACTGTTTACGAATTAAAATTATTAAAGTAATTGTTGTTTCGGTTTGAAATACTACATAGATTAACAACAGTTGTTAATTGTGCTGAATTTTTATCACGTTCCTGATAAAAAAAATGAAGCATATGTAAAGCTTTGGCAGAATATTACCTCTCCCCAAGATTATAAAAATCCAACCAATTTTGTGTACTACATCGAATGTTCCCCACCAGATTTGTCCGGAGCCATTACTACTTCGAGCTGAAGAAAAGTAATTTCCATCCACTGCATTGAGGGCCGGGCCATTGATGTTACTAGCCGTAGAACTCAGACCAACGTCAGTAAAGGTGATGTTTAAACCTAGATAATAGAAACTGTGTTTGATTTCGAAAAAAACTTTAAGAATGCTTTAAGAATACATGTATTAAAGTAGGACAGAAGTTTTAGGATATTTTAGAAACCAAGATTAGTGCAAAAGATTTGAGTCGTATCAGATCATGATCGATATAAACAAGACTTACAAAAGCTTTGAAAAAAAATGAGGAAGAAAATATAACCAAGCATTTTCCTGTACATGACTGTAAGTGAAAAGAAAATGTTATCAATTTTCCTCAAATAATCGCACATTCTTTAAATTTCTTTTGAGAAATATTGAAAGAAAAATGAAATATAACAAACTTACATTTCACAGAGTACATTAAAGTAAAAACTTGAATCACACTGGGATTCATTTTACCGATGCATGGAATTGAAACATATAACAGGAAATGGAAAGTGTAGATTCATAAAACTGGCCTACGCTATAATTAAACGAGTATTATTACAAATACATATATTTAATTCTTGAACAAATCGTTTTTCAAAGTGATCGATCTTAACTAATGTACTATTTTAATATATTCCTGAGAACAAAATACTAGTACTAGTGATTTGCATATTAATTCGATGACTTGGTTTCAAGAGGAATGTTATTTTGACATAAAAATACGAAAGTTTAAGAGATACATGAAAGCCTTTTAACATCAACATATTTGTCATTATTATTTCTATTAGTGTACTCAGAACATGCTCTCGTGTACTGAATCAGTTGAGAAATACAAAAAGTATCTGCAGTCGATGCTCAAGTCATCCCGTTTTTAATATAAATTAATTTGGGATCGTAAAACATCTAAGCATGAAAAACAGATGTTGTGTCTTTTAGTTTTAGTTCGAGTACACTTGCACGTATCGAGTCGACATATGAATGAAAATAATTACTAATGTCAAGAGAGAAAACGTCTCGATATAGAGAAATGTCGGATTGAAGGCCACGACAGAAGTTTTCCTCTTCTCGTGTAGAAGTAGGTTTGAATAAATTTTGCTTCCTAGGAAAATAAAACAGGTCGGCTAATAAAGGAGCACAATTAGTATCCATCTGATTTCCAATTGCTATGAACACACTACATCATTTTATGTTTTATTTTCACGTTAGCTTGCTAAGCAACTGCTGGACATCCATAGGAAGAAACCATTGAAAACAAAACTTGATGTGTGGCATAAAATTTTTTTTGATCAGGCATGAAGAGGAAAAGACTATGAAATTCAGAATTAAGGATGGAATATTTCAAAATAATAGGTGATAAAATATTGTAGATCGAGTTAATATATCATTATATGTCTCAGTCTTATCATTGCCGAAGAGATATCAGGTGACTACAGAAGACAATGATTTAATGATTAAAAGTTAGGGTCAAATCGTAATATGTTTCAAGGTTAAATCGAGTGAAAAGTGCTGGTAACGTTTTACACACTACATATTTTTTTAATACACATGTACAATGAATATGAATTGTGAGAGGATGCTACAGTTAACCATCCTCTAATTGGCATTACACATAATTCGTGTAAATTATTGCTTTTTGCTCTTATGTAAAGATGACAAAATTCATTAATTTTTGATACAATTTAGGATTAATTTTTCGTCATAATGTTCCTTAGTCATTTAACAGCTGTTCTACAATACGGCTTAGTTTTATTAAAAAATGTTTTAAAATTTGATAAAGCATGCATGACCAAATTGTTCTTTTCATTAACTAAAATACTCTCAGATTTTAGAGAAAACAAACACAACAGGCATGTATCTATATAAGAAACATGCTTTTCTATCATGTTTACAATTAATGAAGTAAGTTCTTTTTAGACATTTATCACCTGAACACTGATTACGTACAAAAAGGTGATGAAAAATTCCAGTACAATTTTGAATGTAAGACATCTAAGAAAATACCCACCCTTTTCATACAATGTTAAGATCACAGGATACCCCATATCGGAAAATGTTTATTTTATTCAAAGCTTCTTGTTTTGTTTTGTTTTTTTTAAATGAATTTGTTTATTTGTTACAGGGTCAAATAAGGTTACAATATCAGTTTTTGGAGATTCCATTTTTAAAATGTTTTTGCAAAGAATTTCAATACCAATACCCTCATATAAAAGATTTTGTTAGTCACAATGAAAAAAGTTGGTCTGATAGGAAAACTGTGATAAATGAAATATGAAGATAACGAATAGTAATGAAGCTCAAAAATCCATTGGATCATAACAAATTTGGGAACAGACACGGACCCCTAAAAATGACAGAGATGGTATCAGAAGTCATGCAGGAGTAAGCATCTTCTGCCCACCGGTCACACAAGCCGTGTGCCTTTTATTATGATCGGGTAAACGAAAAAATGCATAGGCAATTCAGTGTGAAAATAATGGCCTAACAATTTGAATGAAAAACATCATGCAGTCAACATTCGGTTTAATGATGCATTGTAATCGCTAATAAGGTCATTGTATCAACCATAGAATTTGCGAAATATTAACTTTAAACAAGACTGTTGATTTCCTTGTATCATCAACGTATTTGTCAATAGCTTGCGTTTTAGCAAAAATAAAGCCAGTACAAACTGTTTTCCAAATTTTCTATACATATTTTTTAGTATCCTATGCCTCTAAGTCATAGTAAATTTACAATTTAATTGTTACTCGGAATGGACGTTGAATCACATCACAATAGCTACTAAATATTTCAACCTATTTAATCATATTTTAGCCACAAAATGAAAAGCACACATTAATTCAATTGTTATTAAATATTTAAAAAGGAGGTTCAGTTGCTGGAGATTTCAAAGTAATTAAGTCACATTTCATCCACCACATGAAGTACAATTTGAATCATAATTCAATTTCAGTTAAATTGAACTTTAATTCAATTGTTTTCAAATGTCCAACTTCTTAAAATGGTAGAGTACCCAAAGTAGGAGATTCCAAAGTATTTAAGTCACATTTCATCCTCCATATGTACACAATTAAATGTGAGATTTGTCAATCCTTCCACCACAGCGTCTTGAAGAAAATATACTGGTCCTAAAAGAGGAACTGGGTATAGTTAGGTTATGATTTTAAATAAAAAATATTGGTTGCATCTTCATCAGCAAGCAACAATAGCATGATGAATAATTTTCAGTCGATTATATTTGTCCTAATACAAAACACAGTATATGTTGCCATTTCTGTATTATTAAGGAGGCTGGGGGGTCAACAAATTAACCATCAGATATAACTTTTTTTTTTAGATATGATATCTTAAGCTGTCAACTATCATTTGGCAAACAAAATTTAATACATTTTAGCTTTAAAATATGATCATTTTTGTATATCTTTATATGGAGCTCTTCTTCTAAAGGAGATCAATATAGTCTAAAAATGGCCACAACCACCCAGCCCTCTTAAATACTTTGACAAATTAAAAAAAAAATTGTGCCTAATTGCTGTGTGGAAAAGTTTATCATGGGTATTTGAGACAGCAAAATGAACCATTTTCTATCTACCTCTCATGTACAACTATTGGTCCTTCGTTAAATCTTATTGAATTTTTCAGAGATGTAGTGCCTCAAAATTTTGTAGGACTTTTGTATGTGGACAAACCGTAAGCTGGTACTGTGTCACCCTACTGGTCTCCTCACCCTGAAATATGGGGGTACAATCTCTTTTGCTGACTATCGGATATATTTCTCAAGAAAAAGCATGCTATTTTGAAATACAATCATGATCAAATGTTTATTTTTAAGTCCTGGCAAACTCTGTCAAATACTTTCTATGGTTAACATTCACGCTAATTTATTTTGAGTAGAAAAATAGTTCTATTTTGACAACATATATGAGACACAGGATATTGTATATTGCGTTTATGCATTTTCACCGGTTAGTCAGTGTATATCTGATACTAAGAGGAAATATATGTTTATCTGCATTAAAATTGGTACCAGATTATATTTTGATTGGACCCATTCGAGTTTGTTCCCACTTACATTCACAAACACACTTTCCTGGTCTCCACGTATGAAACCGTTGTAACTCTCTTGACGTATTTGTACATGAAATGACTTAGCACTTGTTTCAACCATTATTTCCTGTTTTTTGAGATTAAATAAAACAAGGTCAGTAATTATCATGAATTTAGGAAACAATAGTTATTAATCCTGATACATTAACGTTACATTTCGATGCTCCTATTCATAGGCATGTCTGTCTTGTTTGTCACATGAGTGCACAAAACGTAACATATTTTTTCGCTTATAGAACATTCTAAAACTGTACACGAAAGATAACTTTGTAAAATGTAGCATATCATAAAAACACAGTTTTCATTGAACCAATTCAGTTTAATTTAAGAAATTGAAACCATAATTTGCGACTTCAGGATTTAAATTACTTTGCAAAGTCGATCTTAGGAATGTTTTCCTAAGGCTTGCAACATTAACAGTTCCTCAAGTATAGATACTTTACCCATTTTTGATTATGGAATCGGACTATTATTCAGAACATCGGTTGTTATATAAAAACTTCTTTGCTAAGTTTATTTGTGCCGACGAAAACGAAAGGTGCAGTTCACATTGCAAAGACACAGACAGCTGCTTGTGATGATCATGTGAATAAAGAGCCAATATGTATTACAAATAGTGAAGTACGTATTTTGCAATCAATATACTCTTTCATAATGAAAATCACATTTCGTCCAGTATATTTATTGTGATATTTACATTAGGTCCGAAATAAGATTTTTATTATGTTTCTAAAAATTGGATTAAATAAGATTTTTCCAAAAATAAGATCTACAGCCCCCCCCCCCCCCAACCCCAAAACATTTTCAGATACCATATGTTTGATACCCTTAGCCTTAGGCAAGTAAACAAGGAAAAAAGGACATCAACATATACCAAAGCATGTTCAGCCGCTTTGCGATCGAGTGCATTAAATAGAAAAAATCAATCATCTCTGATAATGGAAATGGTGAAAAATGAACTGTGAACTGTATCATTGTGATATTTTAAACTAATGA